TTTTTTTTTTTTTTTTTTTTTTTTTTTTTTTTTTTTTTTTTTTTTTTTTTTTTTTTTTTTTTTTTTGTCGAGAATTATAGAGTATAACGTGATCTTCCAATAGAATTTTAAATATATCTAGTTTAACATTATCTACTTTAAACATAAATTTTAGATCTACCCACCAACTCCAACATATAATTCAATTAATCAAACTCTACACAATTGATATATATAATTTCGATCAATTGTGTTCTCATTTTTATCACAATATTATATTAGGGTGGTACAAGCCACCAATCCCACTACTTTCATTACTCATCTTGAAGAATGGGTAATTTAACCCCAAATTTAGTCATTATAGTTTAAGTTTCAATTTTGTTTTCATGTCGAAATTGGGGTATAGTTTCAGCGTTTTCCCCTCATTATCTATGTTATGATCACGTTACTTACTCTTCACTTCTAAGAGTGAAGACTATCTCAACATATGAACATAGATCTTTTCAACCTATTTTATATTCACTCCCATAATTCTTGAAAAAAATTTCAGAAAGACACCAAATATAGAATTAATTCAAGTAAATCATACTTAATTGAGTCAGTAAGGAGAAGAGTAGACTTTATTTATATAGATAGTAACTTTCAATTCTTTTAGGTTTTTATTAATAATCATATCCTCAGGAATATTTCATGTACCTATCCTTTACTCCGTGTCACGTTATGTCTTTCTTTCTATTATAGAATTCTCACCCCAATTGAAATAAACTCAAATTAAGAGGATTAAAACTCAAACTTGTGAAACTATTGGAACAATTTTGTTATGAAATCCTTAAAATAAATTATATCATCCCTATGTAAAAGAATAAAGTTTATTCTCATTCGCTCATTTAGCTATATTTCGTTGCTATTATAAAATCATATGATGCGTACATGATGGGCTCCAAATCAGGTGCCATTAATTATCTAAATGATATTATATTTTGAAAGCATAATCTCACTACTTAATATATATTTTTTAATTGATTATGTGATAGAATGAGTGATGATGGATGAATTCAAGTTTCTTATTTGAGATTAAGGATAATGATAGCGTACCACCACTAGCATGAAATGCCGGATCTTCTATTAGTCGAATCACATATTGGTTGACGCAATAAAGTGGTATTAGATACTAAACTGTGTAAATCTTCCACCAAAAGTTTCAACCATGTACTTTTCTAAGCTGCTCCAACCGTTTGTTCTATACTTCGTTTCTGTAGTTGAAAATGATATTATTGGTTGTTTTTTACTGCACCATGAAATCGTTCCTGAACCAAACACATAGACCTAGTGGTTGATTTTTGGATATCATGGTCTACTGCATAGCCAGCATCACAGTATCTAATTAACTTGCTGTTTTCACTTCTTTTGTATAAAATATCATAGTCAATTATATCAAAATCCGTCTAGCTGCATCCAAATGAAGCTTCTTTAGATTTTGCATGTACTGACTCATGACTCCAACTGCATAAGAAATATTAGGCCGAGTTAAAGTTAAGTAGACAAGGCTACCTACTAGTTGTCGGTATATTATTTCATCATTCCACTCTTTATGCTCTATGTGCACAAATTTTCGCATTTTTTTCTATCAATGTTGAAACTTGCTTGCATTCCAACATGCTGAACTTCTAAAGCATATCTCTTGTATACTTTTGTTGGCAAAGAAACCATCTGCGATCAATTTCTAGATTTAAGAAGTGTTTAACCTCTCCTAAATTTTTCATCTAAAAACGCACCAATAAATATTCTCTTGTTTGATGAATTTCACTTTCGTCATCCATGGTGATAATCAAATCATCCACATACACCAACACAATTACCAATTTTCCTTCTATTTCTTTGATTAACAAGTTTGAGTTTGCAGGTAAAACTAAATAATCATTTTGGGTAATAAATTCAACATTCTTACCATACCAATATATTTATATTTATATATAAAAAGTGGGGCGAGGCAAGAATTTAGACAAAGTCGGGGGCAGAGACAGAGATGAAGAATGTAATTCTTCCTCGATCGCATTTAGCTAATCGAGAGAAATCTCTATCCACCCCCTCCCAAATACCGCATTTAAATGAAGGTCAAGTCCACTAGGACTTTGACTGCACCCATTAAATAGATATCTCTAGTTGAGTCTTCATATACAACCCCTCTATCTAATTTTTTGGTGTCCAAATTTGAACAAAACTTTAAATACTTATAACCCTCAATTTATTTACAATGTCTGGATAAATAAAGATGACAAAATTAGGCATAATTTGGTCTTAGATTTATAAGATAAAACATTTCCATGAGTTATGATTCATTAGACCATGAACCCACATTAGATATCATATTTGAGATCTTACACACACATAAAAGTAGGCTTACATATAATAGATACTCCATAGCCCCACATGCATCCTTATAACCCATATTTCAACACATTACACACTTTATTTCTTATTGAGAACAAACCAAGTAGAAAACACAGCCAAACTTAAGATCATTCCCTTCATTATTGTAGGATTTTAGTTCTTGGAGAAATAAGCATCCACCCCTTTTGAGATTTTGACGAACAACTCCAAGTAGTTTTGTGGTGAGGCCACATTTTGATTTGCCTTTTCAAACTCAACAGTCCATTTTGTAAAGTTTCCTCTTCCCACTTTGCTTAATCCTCCATTAACAACTTCAAATTTTGCTCTTAGCACTTTGAATTCCTTTAGTGGATCTCCTTCAACAGCTTCATAGATTATGTATTTCTTCACATCATCCACAACTCTTACTGCCCATTTTTCTGCTCTAAGTTCATCTCCTGTTTGTTCATATTCATAAGAAAAGAAACATCAAAACAACAAGAAAAATGAAAAAACATAATCAAATAGCAATACTTCACAATAAACCCTAATAATTAACAAAAATTAGCAATTTCAATCTTTGAAACTTTTAATTCTACATCATTTAACATGTTTATTTTAATTTTCTTAGTTTGAAATTAATAATTAAATCGACCCTTAGATTAGAATTTACTATAAAAAATATTGAATAATAAAATAGTAGTTAGCAAGAAAGTAATTAGATGAGTATATCATTGTATCTCAAAGTTAAATTGACTAAAATAGAATGTTTCGTCTAAACCTAATATATTCGGAACGAAATCTCTCACCAAGTTGGAATTTAAATTGAACAACACTGCCACTAGAGAAATGTTGTCCTTCCACAAGTTGAATGCTCTGGTAAGTCTGAGGAAACAAGTTCACCAAATCTCCCAAATGGTTCCTGAAGAAGCCATATACCTTCTCAGGAGAAGATTTTAGGTCAACCTTTACCCAAATGCTATCAGTTTGGATCATTTTCTTTTGATGTGATACAAACTTGAAGCTAAAAGGGGGATTTTATAGCCAAGTTGGGTGAATATTTTAGGAATTATTGTAAACGCCATTCATCAATAATTCTAAAAGTTAGGTTAGGAGTGCAAATAAAGTCTCATATTAATTATAAAATGGATGAATTATCTTTATCGGTACGACATCTTTTGGGTGAAATTAAAAGAAGAGTCGTAAGGGTTTGTGTCCAAACTAGATCATATCAGCAATAACATTTGATAGACTAATAGCATAAATGTGAGATCCCATATCGATTGGAGAGGGAAACGAAATGTTCCTCATAAGGATGTGTAAATCTCTCCCTAGTAGACGCGTTTTAAAATGGGGAGACTAATGATGATGATACGTAATGGGTCAAAATTAACAATATCTGTTATTGGTGAACTTGAGCTGTTACAATAAATATTACAAGCATGTTAAAAATCTATGAAGATATGTATTTTATCCCTCGAAATTGTGAAAAATCTCTGTTCAATCAAAAAACAATTAAGGAGTGAATATAGATTTATCCCCATTAACTAAATGGGGTCGGAAATGGAGATTACATTTTTCATCCTCGTTTCCCTCTCCAACCTTGTCAAAATCTTCACCCGACTCATCTCCCCTCATTTTTTATATACAATTACATAATGTTAGTGCCAATATACTTGCAATTAATTGGATTTTGTTTGCACTATTTGCAAGTTCCCAATATTTCAATAGAAACTAAAGGTTAGTTTAAGAACTTTTGATTGTCTTTTGAGTGGTACATCCACTATACAAAGCGATTAGATATTAAATACTTACCTTATAACTTACCATTAGGATAACAGCTTCCATCAATAATCCCTTTATTTCACATATCTTTCGATTTTTAAATATGATTTTGGTTCTTATAATTGCATTAAATTAAGCCTAAATTATTAATTATCTACTCAAAACAACAGATTAAGTTGTAAAAGACAATTATTTAAACAAAAATTTACAGAAATATTTGTCTTTTCAAACAATTTTTAAGAATAATATTGTGTTTCTCAAACTATTATTAAGAATAATATAAGTATGAAAATTACTCATTAATGTCATCTTACCAGTTGGGTAGGATTAATTTTTTTTCCATTAGGGTTGGGTTGAATTTTTGAAGAATCGAAAATTTGGATCAAATTGACATTGTTTTAGTTTGGTCAACTTGACCGACCTAAAAATAGGGTTACCGTCCAACCTACCTTACCATAAAACACCTAAAGTCACCTTGTCTTTAGATACCATAAGATTAAGAACCACGTTTTTGATAGGAAGGCACCTTGTCTTTCTTCTCCTATTCTTAAACCTTTAGCTCAAAGAGAAATCGAAAATCAAGAAAGATGCTAAAAAAAAGAGTGCTCGACTCAACGGGAGGCTAGTCTATAAAAACAGTAAAGTATAAAAGTAACCCACAAGATATAATCGCCTAATTCTATTAATTTTGACGTTTTAGGAATTCGAACACAAAATCTTCTACTCATATATCAATTAAATTATGAATCGATTACTTAATGATAAATTTAATCATATTAATACTTGCTATCAGTTTGATTTTATGGTGAGTTTGGTGAATATTGTAGGAATGATTTGAATCAACTTCTTATCATTTTTTAAGCATTGTTGTGATGAGTTTATGATGAACACTTTGGTATCTTTTATTTTTCCCACTAACTTTATTTTAAATTAAGTATTAGAGTTGTTATCGGTTACATAAAGCAAGATGTGTAAAGTAATGTTTGTTTGTTTGTTCCACTTACTCAGTTTAGAAAGTAATTAAAAAAATATATGTTTGAAGATACATTTTCATAGTGATCTTCCACTTTCATGTCTATTAAAATATCTATTTTTAGTTACTAAAATAATTGACGAAGAGAGAAACCCTAGGCTGTTCTTCTTATTAATACATCATTATAGCTTCATATGAATCAATTGATATGCTTCAAGGAAGCCCTATTTGTTTGTTCGCCATCATTATAGCAGAGGCCAAAAGAGGGATCGAGTGTAACATCTAAGTTCCAACGAGCATTAATTTTTTGATTTTTTTCTTTAAAGTTCTCACTTTTGAGATTTTTATTTTCTATCTTAGAGGCATAATTTCAAGATTATGCCGAAGAGAAAAATCATTAAAAAAGGGCCACGAACCCAAAAAAATATAGATTAACAAAGATTCATCAAATTTACCGTTGAGATTGTGAAAGTAAAGTGAAATTTTTCATGACAAGATTTTGATATCAATAGCTGTCGTTTATGGGAGATGAGAGTGCTTTGTCAAAGATGCATGATTGAAAAAAATAAAGATCATATAGAGTTTGTTTTCGGTCTACTACGTTTACAGAGGCCGTGACAATCATGTGAAAATTTTCGAGATAAAATTTTAGCATCGACAATTGACGCATGTGGGGCTGTGAAAGTCTTTATGATCGAAAAAAATAAAGATCATATAAACTTCATTATTCACGAAAAATAAATATATTGTCACATAATGGTCATATAATTTCTAAAGAAATATATTGTCATCTTTCTATAAGAGATAATAAACCTAAAAACTTAGTCATCCATACTTAGTTTAATGACATATTCTAAAGACAATTCGAGAGCAACCCTAATTTCGAGATCTACTCGATCTTTTAGACCATGGTTTCATACAACCGTAATTATATATAGTATACTTTTAGAACATGGTTTATATGGATATGTAAACCTAAAATTTACAATAAAAAGTTAGGTTATGTGTTAAAAAATTTACCTTTGCCTTTGAAATTTGTTATAAAAAACACCCATGAACAACTTAACAATAAAATATTCGGAAAAGACCACATACGTCGAACGTTTTTGGTTGTGGTTGGAAAAAGTAGAAGTCCCAGTATGATCCATGAATATTGATAAGTATATTCCATAAAAAAGGTATATTTAATTCCTAATTAATTTTTCTGATTCACCCGCTCTTATATCTTTTCAAAAGGATCCGTTAATAAAAAATTTGAATATCCAAAACGGAAATTAAATTTTCTTTTTCTAGTCTTAATTATTCTTAACTTTTTTTTGCCGAATACTTAAAATATTTTAAGTCAGGAAGTTAAAATTGTTCAAATAAGATGATGAGCTGAAACTATTATTGAGCACACCTATTTATTTGAAGTCAAATTTTTTGACAATTAGCTTTAAAATTGTTCGATAATCTCTTTTCTACTAAAATTAAGGATAAAAAATATTGTGACAGATATGTAATAAGACGACTAAGATTATTGTTACTATTTATTTAATCTTAAAATATATTATTTAAATTCTTTAGATAATCAATTTTTAAATTTTAGTTGTCATGTCAATTTACATAATTAAATAATGTGGCGTACGTCCTTGAACGAGGTTCTCCTCTCTCAAGTTGGATCCAAGATGACTCCCCGGTTTTGATCTCTTTATCTACGAAATTCTCCATTTATTTTTGTTGGATCAAGATAAGATTTCCGAATGAATTAAAAGGGAATTGGTTTCCATAGATTTTTTTTTCATTATAAATAATTTCTATTAAAAAATGGAAAATTGCAAAATATTCTTGTAAGTCCAATAATGATACATGAACAAAGATATAATTTCAAAAACTCAAATACTATAACATGTTTAAAAAATATACATTTATTTGTTTAATTACTAACCAAAGAAACAAAGTAATATATATAAAAATAAGTTAGTTTGGTATCTTACTTTCCATTGATATAAATATATTTATATTTATATATAAAACATGAGACGAAACAGGAATTTGAAGAAGGTCGAGACAGAGATAGGGACGGAACATATAATTTCCATCCTTAGATCTAGCTAAAAGAGAGAAATCTATGTCGTTTTCATCCCAAATACCTCTTGAAATGAAGGGCAGATCCACATAAGATCTTGACCCTGGATTAAATGAAAATTTATAATTGGATTTTCACCTATCTAATTGTAATTTATTGGTGTCCAAATTTAAACACAACTTTGAATATTTGATAACACTCAATTCAGCTACGATTTTTTTGATAAAAAAAGACGAAAAAATTGGCATAATTTGGTCTTAGGATTTATAACATAAAACATTTCCATGAGTTATGATTCATTAGACATTGAACCCACATTAGATATCACATTTGAGATCAAACACACACACATAAGTAGACTTACATATAATAGATACTCCATAGCCCCACATGCATCCTTATAACCCATATTTAAACACATTACACACATTATTTCTTATTTAGAACAAACCAAGTAGAAAACACAGCCAAACTTAAGATCACTCGCTTCATTATTGTAGGATTTTAGTTCTTGGAGAAATAAGCATCCACCCCTTTTGCGATTTTGACTAACAATTCCAAGTAGTTTTCAGGTGAGGCCACATTTTCATTTGCCTTTTCATACTCAATACTCAATTTTGTAAAGTTTCCTCCTCCTCCTCCTTTGGTTGATCCTCCATTAACAGCTTCAACTTTTACTCTAAGCACTTTGAATTGCTTTAGAGCCTCTCCTTCAACAGCTTCATAGACTATGTATTTCTTCACATCATCCACAGCTTTTATTACCCATTTTTCGACTTTATGTTCATGTCCTGTTTGATCATATTCATAAAAACAACGTTATGTAATATTTAGTTCCGTTTGATATCGATTTTGTTTTTAATTTCTATCTCATTTTGAATCTATAGTAAATTCTTGAGTTTTAGCAATGATTCCAACCAATCAAATATGTAGAACTTTGACTATTTTCTCAATTACTCGTTGAATATATATATCATGAGTTTGTTTGATGAAATTTATTTGTTTTAGCCTTAATTTTTTTAAAAAATAAATGTGTGATAATTTTTGGTTGAATTGAGTTGAATTTGAAATTTTTTTTAATCCAATTGGGCTATAAATTTTTTTTACTCAAACAACTTTTATTAAATAATAAACTCTAACTTTATTCAATTTTTTAAAAATAAAAGTAAAAATTTAATAAGGAAAATATCTATTTATTTATTTTGAAACTCAAGATTTACCAATCAATTTCAATATAAATGGTAAAAAAAATACATTTCAAAATCTTTAACATTTTATTTTCAAGAGTTGGGAATAAATCTATATATATATATATTAAAACTATAGAAAATAAAAATAAATAAATGTATATATAATTTATATTGAGCTAAAAAATATATTTTTTAAAAAACTAGATATAAATTTGGAGAATCCATGAAAAAACCAAAACTCATAAATTTTTATTTATATATTTGGACACCAATCAACCAATCCAAACATTAAAAACAAATTGAGAATAGAATTTGCTATAAAAAATATTAAATAATAAAAAAGTAGTCGACCAGAATGTAATTAGATGACCATATCGTTTATCTCTAAAGGTAAAATATAAGTTAAAATGTCGAATACCAAAATAATTATCGAAACGCAATTGAAATGAAATGTGCCAACCAATTTAGACGAAGAGAATCTCTCACCCAATTCGTATTTACTTAGAAATAGACTGCCCCTTTCGAAATGTTGCCCTTCCACAAGTTGAATGCTATTGAAATTCTCAGGAAACAAGTTCACCAAATCTCCCAAATGGTTCCTGAAGAACCCATATAACTTCTCATGGGAAGATTTTAGGTCAACCTTTGCCCAAATGCTATCAGTTTTGCTCATTTTCTTTCGATGTGATTCAAACTTGAAGCTAAGAGGGGTATTTTATACTGAAGTTGGGTGAATATTTTAGAAATTATTTTAAACGCCACTCATCAATGATTCAAAAAGTTAGGTTAGGAGTGCAAATAAAATGTTGCATTGGTTAGAAAAGGGATGGATTTTTTTGTACACATGGACAATTATCTCCATTGGTATGAAATTTTTTCGGTGAAACTAAAAGAAAAGTCACTAGGGTTTATGTCCAAACTAGACCATATCAGTAATAACATTTTATAAATGTTATCATTGATAGACTAATAGCATAAATGTGAGATTTCATATCGGTTGGAGAGGGAAACGAAACATTTCTTATAAGAGTGTGAAACATCTTCCTAATAGATGCGTTTTTAAATCGTTAGAAGGATCGCAACACGTAATGGACTAAAGCAGAATATTTGCTAGCTATGGACTTTAGTTGTTACAATAAATATTATAAGCATGTTAAAAATCTATCCAAATATATATTTCTATTCAACTTAAAAGCTCGTGAACATCTCTATGCATAGATCACTGATGACGTAAATGAGTATCAAAGATATCATAAAAATATTTAAGTAAGCAAACGAAAAGATTTTAAATTAGTATATTATTTGCAAGTTCCCAATATTTTAAGAGAAATTAAAGGTTAGTTTAAGAACTTTTGATTGTCTTTTGAGTGGTACATCCACTGCACAAAGCAATTAGATATTAAATTCTTACGTTATAATAATAGCGGTTTGTCGAATACGACTGTCCACAATGGTATGATAGTTCATATGATTGAGAGCGGTACGTTGACTCTATTAATGTCGTTCTTCAGATAAGGTAGTTGGAACCATGCTTTTACGCCCGACTACTCTGATGCTGAAGGAGACTTGATCACACATTATATCCTAGAGACCACGATAATAATACATTACATCAACCACTCCGGGTGAGTTGTTAGATGCTTTGTATTCCACTACAACCACTCCATTGGATGGAGATTAGAATAAGTGGTGCCTGGTGCCTAATCGACTTTTCGAGTGGTAGGGAATTTTTCTTCTGAGGATTCACTAATCCAATTACAAGGCCAGTTAGTGCTTTCTATTCAACTACTACCCATCCATAGGTATGAGGATTCACTAATCCAATTACAAGGCCAGTTAGTGCTTTCTATTCAACTACTACCCATCCATAGGAAGGGGATCGTTCCCAAGGATTAGGGCTTAGTTAGTGCTTTCTATTCAACTACTACCCATCCATAGGAAGGGGATCGTTCCCAAGGATTAGGGCTTAGTGCTTCCCAGATTTTGCACGTGTGATACATGTTCCCTCTATTTCTCCAAGCAAAGCTTTTCGCATCGCAATGCCTATAGTATCTGCTTGCCCCTTAATAAGTGGAGACAGAATAAAGCGTCCATAATAAAGACGCAATGCCTATAGTATCTGCTTGCCCCTTAATAAGTGGAGACAGAATAAAGCGTCCATAATAAAGACGCTTAGCCTATAGTATCTGCTTGCCCCTTAATAAGTGGAGACAGAATAAAGCGTCCATAATAAAGACGCTTAATAAAGACGCTTACTGTCTGCTCTTGATTCAACACACTTCCACTTTAGTGTCCGAGTCGATACTCTTATTTTCTCTCGAACCATAGTAATATTTTTTGATCAAATCATTGAATTATTTATTTCTCTTGAAATTTCTCTTCAATGTTTATTTTTACACACGTCGTTTTTTCGGGGGCCTACAGCCATTATGTGGCATAGGGGTTACATCCCGTATGAAACTTAAGGCCTCATACCAATGAAATTAGTATTCCTCACTTATAAACCCACCAGTTAGTGCTTTCTATTCAACTACTACCCATCCATAGGAAGGGGATCGTTCCCAAGGATTAGGGCTTAGGGCTTCCCAAAAGGCCTCATACCAATGAAATTAGTATTCCTCACTTATAAACCCATGATCATCTTTCATCATCCAACACCTCCCCTCGAACAAATCACGCCTCCCCTTAATCGCCTTCGAGGAGGCTTGACTCCTTTTTTCTTTTTTGGAGTTCTTTGTTCGACATTCGAGGATGGGGATCGTTCCCAAGGATTAGGGCTTAGGGCTTCCCAAAAGGCCTCATACCAATGAAATTAGTATTCCTCACTTATAAACCCATGATCATCTTTCATCATCCAACACCTCCCCTCGAACAAATTACCATAATTCGTCACTTATAAACCCATGATCATCTTTCATCATCCAACACCTCCCCTCGAACAAATCACGCCTCCCCTTAATCGCCTTCGAGGAGGCTATCTTTCATCATCCAACACCTCCCCTCGAACAAATCACGCCTCCCCTTAATCGCCTTCGAGGAGGCTTGACTCCTTTTTTCTTTTTTTCCCCTCGAACAAATCACGCCTCCCCTTAATCGCCTTCGAGGAGGCTTGACTCCTTTTTTCTTTTTTGGAGTTCTTTGTTCGACATTCGAGGATTAATCGCCTTCGAGGAGGCTTGACTCCTTTTTTCTTTTTTGGAGTTCTTTGTTCGACATTCGAGGATTTGTCAATCTATTGGCACGGCTAAGTTTAGGGCATGGCTCTGATACCATGTTAGAGGAACACGACTCTCCACAATGGTATGATATTGTCCACTTTGAGCATAAACTCTCATGGTTTTGCTTTAGGCTTCCCAAAAGGCCTCATACCAATGGAGTTAGTATTCCTCACTTATAAACTCATGATCATTCCCTAAATTAGCCGATGTGGGACTTTCATCATCCAACAATAGCTTCCCTCAATAATCTCTTTATTATACATCCATGAATGGCCTGAAAATACGATATTAAATGATAGGTCGCATCATTTTGTATGTGTTTGTAGTTCTCGAACCTAATACTCGACTCACTTACTGATTATTTCTTAAAATACTCAAATTTTGTGCTATTTTTATATTTTAGGTCAAGGCAAAACACTCATATACGATTGACAGCAGTTTGTACGGTTAACAGCGACGTCATGAAAATACCATGCAACCTGTGTTAGAGTAATTGCATTTTTATTTTGTATATCTTCAATTAGATTAGAGCATCGTTTTAATCTTTTGTTTGGTTTTATTTATATTTCACATTGATTATTTTTCGTTGTTTTATTTTAAGGCTTTTAAAGCAAATATTTAAGTTCTTAATACCGTTTTATGAATTATTTTAAAGGAATGTTTTCGCATAAAAAAAAATAGGATCGTTACACAACAACTCTCGTCTACATCTACAACATGCAAGTATTTTTCCCGAGTATAATTAAATTTTTCTAAACTTCAAAGCCATTTTTCTTTTTCTTTTTCTTTTTCTTTTTCTTTTTGCATGAATTATTGAGAGTGGGTTTTGAGGAGTTTGGCCAACTTTCTATCATTTTTTAAACATTCTTGTGATCACTTCATGATGAACACTTTAATATCTTTTATTTTTCCCCACTAACTTTATTCTAAATCAAATATTAGAGTTGTTACTGTCGCATATCAACAAGATGTGTAAAATAATGTTTGTTTGTTGGTTCCACCACTTACTCAATTTAGAAAATAATAATAAAATATATGTTTGTTCCAAGTCCCATTTTAAAGATATAATAATAATAATTGCGGAAGATAGAATCATTCTCCTTACTAATACATTATTATAAAAGTTTCTCACCGCACCACTCGAATTATCAAAATTTCACGTAGATAAAACAACTTGTTGAATGCCTATGTAATTCAAATTCACAACTAAACTTTGTTATATTCGGATGGTGATGTCTCGGTGAAGATCATGGAATCGAAGCTAGGATAGTTGCATTTATATTTATTTTAGCCGCCTTATAGTTATATCAGAGGATCGTTGTTGAGGATTATTGGGAGTGAGTCCCACATTGGTTAATTTAGTAGAAGATCATGAGTTTATAAATGAGGAATACGATCTCCATTTGTATGAGCCTTTTTGGAGAAGCTCTAAGAAAATCCATGAGAGCTTATGCTCGAAATGAACAATATCATACCATTGATAATTTTATTTTATTTAACATTTATATTATCTATTTTTTGCTATGTTGTTGATAACAATATTGTTTTTAAAAAATAAATATTTTTTTAATAGATAATTTTCATTTTCTAATATAATTTCTATTGAAAAATATATAATAAATCCAATAATACTACGTAAACAAAAATATAATCGATATAGTACTTTAGTTTTTTGTTTTACTTTTGATATATATAGATATATTTATGTATAAAAATTAAAGCGAGGCAGGGATTTCGACAAGGTCGGGGGACATAGAGGAGGATGGAGAATATAATTTTTCCTTAGTTCCGTTTAGTTAACCAAGAGAAATCTCTATCTAATCTCCCAAAATATCCCATTTAAATGAGGGGCAAGTTCACGTAGGGCATTGGTGTCACGATCATGCTTATCCAAGTCATGTTGTCTATAGCTGCTTGTTGGAAGTCCTGGTCATGCTTGTTCAAGACGTATTGTCCATGGCCGCATGTCCGTTCTAAACCCCTTTTGCATGCTTTCATCTTAAATAAGTCTTTACTATTTTATGTTGTATCAAAAGAGGTGTATGACCGTTCACCAAAATCATGTCTACCTCTGTCGGGGCTAAAATGCCCTCAAATGTATTATAAGGGGATATGACTACTTGTCATTTCTTCCTACCCAGGTTATATGCTATAAAACATATTGTTATCTATTCTTCCCTAATCGCTTTTAGCTTGTAACATTGCTTTCTTTCAAATTGTTTTCAACATATTTTCTTGCTCACATTTTATAAACCATTCCTCTCAAACGTGACTCGAGGCTCAACCATACATCAACATTGTCCACAAAGTCAAATTTCTCACGACTGACTTGTTTGCTGGGTCAAAACAAGTGTCGCACTACCGTAAGAGTGCAATTATGACACTTGGCCCCACAAATTAAATACACATCTCTAATTGAGTCTTCATATATCAAACCAGTGTCCAAATTTAAACAAAACCTAGAATATTTTCGATTCAATTACGATTTTTCAATAAATAAAGACTCATGGATTTATAACATAAACATTTCCATGAGTTATGATTCATTAGACCATAAACCCACATTAGATATCATATTTGAGATCTTACACACACATATAAGTAGGCTTACATATAATAGATACTCCATAGCCCCACATGCATCCTTATAACCCATATTTAAACACATTACACACATTATTTCTTATTTAGAACAAACCAAGTAGAAAACAACAGCCAAACTTAAGATCACTCCCTTCATTATTGTAGGAGTTTAGTTCTTGGAGAAATAAGCATCCACCCCTTTCGAGATTTTGACGAACAACTCCAAGTAGTTTTGTGGTGAGGCCACATTTTGATTTGCCTTTTCAAACTCAACAGTCCATTTTGTAAAGTTTCCTCCTCCTACTTTGGTTGATCCTCCATTAACAGCTTCAACTTTTACTCTAAGCACTTTGAATTGCTTTAGAACATCTCCTTCAACAGCCTCATAGATTATGTATTTCTTCACATCATCCAAAGCTCTTATTGCCCATTTTTCAACTCTAAGTTGATGTCCTGTTTGATAATATTCATAAGAAAAGATAAAACAAAACTATCTTTAATATCCTGATCATGCATGAACAAATATATAATCAACGTTATGCAATATGAGAAGGAATTATTGTCTCACCAAATCCAAATTGGAATTTAAATAGAACAACATTGCCACCGGAGAAATGTTGTCCTTCCACAAGTTGAATGCTCCTGTAATTCTCAGGAAACAAGTTAACCAAATCTCCCAAATGGTTTCTAAAGAACCCATAGAACTTCTCAGGAGAAGATTTTAGGTCAATCTTTGCCCAAATGCTATCACTTTTGCTCATTTTCTTTTGATGTGATACAAACTTGAAGCTAAGGGGGATTTTATTAGCCAAGTTGGGTGAATATTTTAGGAATTATTTCAAACACCACCGATCAATGATCACTTTTTCCCCCACTGATTGTATATTAAATCACAGATTTTAGGTGCAAATAAAGTCTAGCATTAGTTAGAAAAATGAGGATAATTTTCTCAATGGGTATGTTTATTTTACCTAACTCAAATAGAGTGGAAAATCTTTGTTCAAACAAAAAAACAATGGAGCGAAATGAAATTTATCATGTAACAGTTTGAGATCATCGCTAGTAGATATTGTGTGTTTTTGCTCCTTACGTATCACTGTCAGCCTCACAGTTTTAAAACGTGTTTAGTAGGGAGAGGTTTTCACCCCTTATAATAAATGTTTTGTTCTCCTCTCCACATGGTTGTAAGGAATGTTTTGTTCCTCTCTACAACTGATGTAAGATCCGCAATCTATCCCCTTGGGGGCTAACGTCTTCGCTGGCACACCGCCCGGTGTTTGGCTCTGATATCATTTGTAACCGTCCAAGAATACCGTTAGCAGATATTGTATGTTTTAACCTGTTATATATCGCCACCAATCTTACGGTTTTAAAACACATCTACTAGGAAGAGGTTTTCACACCTTTATAATACTCATTTCCAACCAATGTGAGATCTCACATATCCTTATTAACTAAATGGAGTCAGGAATTGAAACTATACATCTCATCTTGTCTCCCTCTCCGACAAAAATCCTCATCCCGACTCATCTCGCTTCATTTTTTATATATAAATATAAATAAATATACGTAGAGAAAAAATTTCTACAAGGATCTGGAGCTGTGCACGAATTCTCCACCGTAAATCTTCACCCCAATTCCTTTAAAAATAAATGAAAAAATTTGAAGGAACGAAGATTAAAATCAGAGACGGAAACAGAAACGAGAAAGACATCCTATTCCTTTACAAACATCTCAATGCATCACTAATGACGTAAATGAGTATTAGAAGATAACATAAAAATGTTGAAGTAAGCAAACGAAAAAAATTTAAAATTAGTATATTATTTGCAAATACATAATGTTAGTGCCAATATACTTAAAATTAATTGGATTTTATTTGCATTATTTGCAAGTTCCCAATATTTTAAGAACTTTGGCCTATTTTTGAGTGCTACATCCATTAAACAAAACAATTAGATATTAAATTCGACCAATTCGAACTATTCAATTCAAACCATAAAAGTTGGGTAGAGTTAATACCACTTGACACCTATCGTGATGATAAACGGCTCATCTCGCCGTGACCTTCACTTGAATTCTCAAAACTTCTGTCGCTCCATCCCCGCAGGGGCAGAGAACCCATCGCTATCTCGGCTGTGCTACCAGAGGCTCTGGGGAAGTCGGAATAGGAGAGCACTCATCTTGGGGTGGGCTTACTACTTAGATGCTTTCAGCAGTTATCCGCTCCGCACTTGGCTACCCAGCGTTTACCATGGGCACGATAACTAGTACACCAGAGGTGCGTCCTTCCCGGTCCTCTCGTACTAGGGATTTTCTTAGTCCAGTCAACTCGACCAACCTGATAATAGAGTTACAACATAATCTTACCATATTCTAAAGTGCCTTGATTGTTAATTTTTAGTCCCAATTCACTTTATTCTTTTTGTCTCTCGAAATTCTTTAATTTAAAAATAGACTTAAAATCACATCAAGATTCATTTATCCATTTCACGAGAAAGATAAGAACTATGCTGTGACATATAAAAGAGAATCGCAAAAGAATATAAAGATAAGGCACTATCACCTATTTCCATTAATTTTGCTGTTTGTTTGAGAGTGAAAAGGAATTCGATCACAAACTCTTCTGCTATGATGTCTATTAAATTATCAATCACTCAACTTAAGTTGATTGGTAATGATAAATTTAATCATTAATTTGCTATCGAATTTGGCCTAACTTTTTATCATTCTTTAAACACTCTTGTGATTAGTTCATTATGAACACTTTAATATCTTTTATTTTTCCCACTCTTTATTTTAAATCTAAGTATTAGAGTTGTTATCTGTTACATATGAGCACGATTGTGTAAAATAATGTTTGTTTGTTGGTTCCACTTACTCAATTTAGAAAATAGTAATATAATATATGTGAGTAAGTGAAAGTCGGGTGAGATTTTGGCATCAATAGTTGGCGTCTTAAAGTAGATATTGTCATAGTTGTACCAGAGGTGAAAAGGCAAGGTTGAATGTAATATCTCTGACGAGAATTAATTTTTCAATTTTTTCTTTATAGTTCTAATTTTCTAGAATTTTTTTAGGGTCTTTAGAGGTAGAATTTCAAAATCGTGTAGAAGAAAAAATTATTAGAACACTGCTCGAAAAAATGTCAAAGAATCCAGGAAAAATATAGATCAGATTAAGCTTATTTTCGATCGCACCAAATTTACCGTTGAGACCGTGAAAGTAAGGTGAAATTTTTCTTGACAAGATTTCGGTATCAACAGTTGTCGTCTATGCGAACGAGAGTGCTTTGTCAGAGATGCATGATCATATAGAGTTTGTTCCCGATCTCACTAAATTTAGCGTTGAGGCCGTAAAAGTCGAGTGAAATTTTTTTAAGTAATATTTTAGCATCAACCATTGGCGTATTTGAGGTCGCGAAAGTCTATATGATCGAAAAAATAAATATTCACAAAGAATGTCACCCGATGATCCTGTCACCTTTGAAGAGTATCTATGTTCATCGCATTTAAGGAATCGTTGGGTTGAAAGTTGTTTAAGATATCTATAAATCATATAACAATATTTGGTGTGGCATGAAATACTATAGGAATTTTATATAAATAAATAATATTTATGTTTGTGCTAACAACTTAATTATTTACATAATATAAATAAATAATATTAATTATATTACAAATTATTAACAATATGGTTAAAAAGTTGAAAGCATTGATATTTCATTTCGAACACTCTGGGATCTCATATCGGTTAGAGAGAGGAACAAATTATTCTTTATAAGAGTATAGAATCCTCTCCCCAGCAAACTCATTTTAAAACCATGAGGCTAACGATGATGCATAACAACCCAACACAGACAATATCTGTTAGCTTGACCAGAGGGTCCAGGGAGTGTGCGAGCGCCCTGGGGATTCACACTCGCACGTGTGAGTCGTGTGTAGGAAGTACTACACATCCAATTTGTCCAAGAGTAGAGGCCACCCTATGATGTTAGAGATAGGTCCCTAAATCATGGTTGCATGTGTTTAGTGTTTAGATGGTTCCCAATAGTAAAGCCAATGTGAGCTTGTATGGAGCACAACATCATTGCAAGTAGAAACTGTGACACGTGTATAGGTTAGTCACATATTTAAATTTCTAGTTTTAGATTAGAATAGGTTGTGTTGCATTTCATCGTTTTAAACTTGAGTATTTCGTATTTAAACACGTAACATCATAGATGAACATAAAAATTTAGGGTCGTTACAATATTCGTTAGCAATAGGGTTAGACTATTACAAACACACTTGAAATCAAATTTTCCATTGAGTTTTTAAGAGCGTTAAACACGCACACACATACATAACTTTTCGATCAAACATAAACACACATTTTCACCCAAGCCCACATAATTATACAACATAACATTACATTACACATAAAAAGTTCCATGTAGAAACGGCATTAACTTTAGGGCATGCACTTAGTTGTTGTAGGGGTTTAGTTCCGATAAAGATAAGCATCGAAACCTTTGCTGACTTTGAGAGCCAATTCCATGTAGCTTTCCGGTGAAGGAACGTTTTGATGTGCCTTTTCATACTCAACTGTCCATTTTGCAAAGCTTCCTCCCACTTTCTTCAAGTCTCCACTAACAGTTTCAAGTTTTGCTCTGAAAACTTTGTATTGCTTTAGTACATCTCCTTCAAGAACTTCATAAATTATGGTCCTTGCTTCATCCATAACTCTCATCCGTACCTTTGCTGCCTCTGGAAATCCTGTTAATTTGTTCATCATTCAAACACCCTTTTTTTAGTATCTTCATGCATCAACAACCATACGTTCCGTTGTAAAATTTGATCTCGTTTGATATCGATTTTGTTCTTAATTTTCTACTAAACCTAATAACTCAAGTTCATTGCTAGCACATATTATCCGTTTTAACTTATTATGTATCGTCGTCAACCTTATAATTTTAAAACGAGTTTGTTAAGGAGAGGTTTCCACACCTCATTTCATTAAAAACTGATGTAAGATCTCATACTGTCATACTAAAAGACAGTATAATTAAAAAATAAACTTATGGAATATTATAACTTTAACCAACCATTTAGAAATTTTAATCTCTACTCTATAAATTATCGATCTTGGTAAAACTCGAAAACCAAAGCTTAGAATCGTAAAGATTAAAGTAAACATTTTAAAAGACGAAGAAACAAGATAATAATATCTCACTGAGGTTGTATTTCCAGTGCACGACACTGCCATCTTCGAAGTTTTGTCCTTCAACAAAGTGGAAGCTCTGGAAGTGGTCAGGGAACAGATGGACCAAATCGCCCATATGGTTCCTGAAGAAGCCGTAGAACTTCTCAGGAGACGATTTCAGCTGAACCTTTCCCCAAATGCTTTCACTTTGGCTCATTTTGTTTTGATTTGATTCAAAGCTTTAGCCAAGAGAGGCATTTTATAGTGTATTTGGGTGAATATTTTAGGGATTATTTGAACTTCCACTCAATAATTTGGCCCAACTTTTTATATTTTTTAACCCTCGTGTGACACTTTATCATACACATTTCCCCCCACTAACTGTGTATTTAAATCCAGTTTGTGGAGTTGTTATCTCTTCGAGATCTGCTTTAACATTTTTTAACCCGAGCCCATCGAGTCATTACATTAATTAATTCATATTGTTCGTTTGAACCTATTACGTATTATCGTAAGTTACACAAATTTAACTTCTATCTACCAGGGAAAGGTTTTTACCCTCTCATAAGAAATGTTTTGTTCCCTTCTATAGCGGATGTGAGACTTCACCGTCTAACTTCCTTAGAGTCCAGTCTGATGTCATTGCTAACAGATATTGGAGAGTTTGTTTAGGTATGAAATAGAATATGAAATAATTTTTTTTTTTTTTTTTTTTTTTGTATTGGATTGTTGTTGTCACTATTGAATAATGGAGTTCCACTTTTAAATGAGGTAGTTTAATGCCCTATGATATAAAATATCCATCAAATTTGTCTGATTTGTTTAAAAAATACTCTTAATAAAGAAATATTCTAAAAAAATTCTTTGTTTTTTGTTTTTTTTTTTTTTGTTTTTTTTTTGTTAAAATAAAGAATGAAAATTATTGGGATGCTCCATGTTATATTAATAAATAAAATCTTATAAAACTCAAATTTTCAATATTCACAAGTTACAATGTCTCACTAACATCGGTTACCAACGTTAAGTATTCTTAATTTTTCATAATAATCTTGAAATAGGTTGGGTTGGGTTGTAACATTATTCCAGGTTGGTCGGGTTGACTTGACGAAAAAAAATGTTCCCATTAACCGACCTGAAATTTCGATTTCCCAAAAATTCAACCTAATCTAAACTTAAAAAGATCCTAATTCAACCCAATATTTATGGTTCGGATTGAGTAGTCCAAATTATCGAATTATGTGAGTGTTAATATAAATAATGTCATGAATGTCTTTTAATTTTTACCCACATTAATCAAATCAACTTATCCATCTTTTTTTTACCAAGAAAAAAAAAGTATTTTTTTTAACCACCTTCGAAGTTTACAAACAAATTTAGAAATTTTAAAGTTTATAGCTTAAACAACCTCAAATTTTGGGTATTTTATAATTTAACAAAAACTTTATTGTTGTTATTATTATTATTATTATTATTATTTTGGGTGCAAAAATAGACATTTTATTAATTTAACCAAAACTATAAGATCTAACTATCATTACATGCAATAAAGGACGAGCACAAGAATGAACGCATATTAATAAAGTATTAATAAGGTGGAATATTTTTATTTATTGTTGTAGGTTTATTTGAAGACTGGAGTAAAAACATCTCCGATATTCACCTAATTATGTCGAAGTTTTGAATTGTATTCACCTAATTATGTCGAAGTTTTGAGTTGTATTCACCTAATTATGTCGAAGTTTTGAGTTGTATTCACCTAATTATGTCGAAGTTGAGTTGTATTCATCTAATTATCTCGAAGTTTTGAATTGTATTCACCTAATAATCTCGAAGTTTTGAATTGAATCTAACATAATAATCGAGCTCGATTGTGTTAGACGAACACGACTCTCCACAATGGTATGATATTGTCCACTTTGAGCATAAGCTCTCATGGCTTTGCTTTGGGCTTCCCAAAAGGCTTCCCAAAAGGCCTCATACCAATGAAGTTAGTATTCCTCACTTATAAACCCATGATCACCAAAAGGCTTCCCAAAAGGCCTCATACCAATGGAGTTAGTATTCCTCACTTATAAACCCATGATCATGTGGGTTTATAATCTAAGAATACGAGGCCTTTTGGGAAGCCCAAAGCATGAGAGTTTATGCTCAAAGTGGACAATATCATACCATTGTGGAGAGTCGTGTTCGTCTAACATGGTATCAGAGCCATGCCCTAAACTTAGCCGTGCCCTAAACTTAGCCGTGCCAATAGATTGGCAAATCCGTATCAGAGCCATGCCCTAAACTTAGCCGTGCCAATAGATTGGCAAATCCTCAAATGTCGAACAAAGGACTCCAAAAAGGAGTCAAGCCTCCTTGAAGGTACTAAGGCAGTCAAAAATTTGAAGGTACTAAGGCAGTCAAAAATGACTAAGACTTCAAAGGAGTCAAGCCTCGATTAAGGGGAAAGGGGAGGCGTGCTTTGTTCGAGGGGAGGTGTTGGATGATGAAAGTCCCACTTAATTTAGGAAATGGTCATGAGTTTATAATCTAAGAATACACTCTTTCATTTGGTATGAGGCCTTTTGGGAAGCCCAAAGCAAAGCCATGAGAGCTTATGCTTAAAGTGGATAATATCATACCATTGTGGACAGTCGTGTTCGTCTAACAGATTGGATGTTTACGTATATGGAAGTTTGAAAAAGTTGTAGAAAGGGAAAAAAAAAAAGATGGGAAGAGAAATAGTAATATATAATTTTTATATATTATGTGGTACAAACACAACGCGAAGTACACGAAGAACAGGAAGAAGAAGCCCTCCTTCGTTGAAGCCATATTCATATTTCCTTCTTCATCATCTCATTTATCAGATCAAAACAAAAAATAAATTAAAACGCCTTCGCAAAATCTTTCATCAACGCGCGATTTTCCTTGGTGAAATCCGCGAACTCTTCCCACGATATGAACCCATCGCCGTCTTTGTCAATCGCGTCCATCATCCTCTTCGCCTCCTCCGCGTTCACTCCCAATCCGTTCAACGCATCGCCCAGCTCCGCCGCCGATATCATCCCGTCGCCGTTCGCGTCGAATCGCTTGAAGATCCTCTCGCACTCGGCTGCGCTTATGTCACTCTCCGCCATTTCTACAGCTTCGATTCCGAGTAATCTTGCTTGGAGGCGACTCCTTCGTTCTCCTACTCTTCTTTTTTTTCTTTTCCTCTCTTCCATTAATAATCTCTGTTTTGCCCTAATTTTTTGGCATTGGAACCACCTGGTGTCGTCTCCTTCTTCGAGATTGTTCCGCTGAACTGATTTTTGCTCAATTTAGGTCTTTCTGATTTGCGATCTGCGAATCAAATGGCGATGTCCGCAAACACTCTCTCGGATCGCTTCAATTTTTAATCAACTGATTTTGCTCCAATTTAACCCCTAATTCTTTAAGATTTCTTAATGGAATAAATTGCAAATTTAATTGTAGATCAGTGTAAAGTAGATATTTTAATTTTTTAAGTGTGTTCATCATCAAGTTTTTAAAAATCTAACCGTAAGTTATTTAATTATGTGTTTAATACGTGACATTTTGTTAAAATTTATGAATTAGATACAAACTTTAATTTTAGAAATAAATACATTTTTGGATTTTGATATTTGGGTTACATTTGATTTGAGTTTTTAAGCTCAATTTTTAGTGTCTAAATTTGATGAATATTTAAAAAAAATAAAAGTTAAAAGAACAGTTTAGGTAACACTTTAGCCTCGTCATCAGCTTTACAATTTTAAAACGTGTTTGTCTATAATGCGTTTGTTAGGAGAAGTTTCTACACCCTTATAATAACAAATATTGTCTGTTTTAGCCGAACATGTTTGTTAGGGAGAAATTTTGACACCCTTATGTTTCATTCTTCTCTCTTTTGAATATGTTTGTTAGGGAGAGATTTCCGTTAGGGAGAGATTTCCACACCCCTTATAATGAAACACTCCACTCACAAATGAGATTTCACAAGACGCACCGCCTCGTGTCTAGTTCTAATATCATTTGTAATAGCCAAAACACACTATTTACACCACCCCATGTCTAGTTCTAATACCATTTGTAACTGCCAAAACACACTATTTACACCACCCCATGTCTAGTTCTAATACCATTTGTAACTGCCAAAACACACTATTAACAGATATTGTCCACTCTGCCAAAACACACTATTAACAGATATTGTCCACTTTTAACTTGTTAGGTAGTTAACTTCACGGTTTTAAAACATGTGAGAAGTTTTCAGACCTTTACAATAAATGTTTTGTTCCCTCCAAACGATGTGAGATCTCATACTTTTACAATTAATTTTTTTTTTTTAATGGAAACGGTTAACGCTTTAATTCAAAAATATCTCTAAGCGATAAAAAGTTTCATTAAATACTCTCTTAACTTTTGTTCCAAAAACTAATATTTATAACATTCATAAAAAAATTAATAAAAATAAAATGTTCTTAGTATATAGACAAAGCATTTATCTTCTATGTGGCCATTCAATACAATGGAACATCCAATCTACTGAAACAACAACAACAACAACTTCACAGTATCTTACAGCCGAAACAATTGAGAGGAGAAGCTAAAATCTGCCCAAAATTTGTGGAAATGAAGTCTCGAGTATTATTATACATACAGATATAGATAGTAAGACAAAGGGCTTAGGACACAGTTTTGAAGATTGCATTAAGAACAGCGTCTTTGTCTGGTAAAGCAGGGATGGCCCCTCTTTCCATAACAGTCAATGCACCACAAGCATTGGCAAACAGCAGAGCATCTCTAAGTTTGTCTTCCTTCTACAAGGTTTCCAAATAGACACATAAACTGTTATTTCACTTGCCATCTTTCTGACAAGAACCAGTAACATGACAGTGTTTTTTTGAAGTAAATAAGGTTTTGAACACTTTGAAAGGGTGATATGAAGTATTGGAAATTGCAGAAAATGAGATGCAAAACAAACACTCTGAATAAGCATGATTTTCTGGTGTATTGTGATATTTTAAACCGATTTCGTATGCTGAAATCTACGGGTGTTCAAAGAGTTTGAAGTATTTTACACCGAACAATGAAGTCTAATTGTTTCTCCAAATTTACAAATCAATCACAATAAACATAATTGTAGCGACCCAAGCCCGCCGCTAGCAGATATTGTCCTCTTTGGGCTTTTTTCCTTTCAGGTTTTTCCTTTTAAGTTTTTTAAAACGCGCTTGCTTGGGAGAGGTTTTCACGCTCTTATAATGAATGTTTTGTTCACCTCTCCAACCGATATGGAATCTCACACTCCACCCCCCTTCGAAACTCAGCGTCCTCGCTAACACTCATTCCTAGACCTCCTATCCACCCCCTTTCGGGGCTCAGCCTCCTCGCTGGCACATGGGCTCAGCCTTCTCGCTGACATATTGCCCGGTGTCTAGCTCTGATACCATTTGTAATGGCCCAAGGCCACTGCTAACAGATATTGTCCTCTTTGGACTTTCCTTTTCGGACTTCCCCTCAAGATTTTTAAAACACGTTTGCTAGGAAGAGGTTTCTACACCCTTATAAAAAATATTTCGTTCTTCTCCCAAATCGAGGTGGGATCTTACAGTAATAATCTAAATATGCTTTTGGGTTTAATTTAAAGGTAGTTTTGTTTGGTTTCAAAGCAAGAGGCTCTATTCGAATTCGTACGTTGTCATGTCCTTCCCAATTAACATTAAGGACTCATTGAGTTCAGTGATAATTTAACATTTGTCATGTTCAAAAACGTGTCGAAAAGGAGCAAAAAACTCATTAGAAGAGCAAAAAAAAAAAGCATTTCAGATGTGGTCATGAACTCTTCAAAATATGCAGAGCTTCACAATTCAGAAAAGGTACCTGAAGCAAAGAGAGGTCAGTGGCTAGCTGAGACAAAATGCCAGCAACAAAAGCATCCCCTGCACCAGTGGTGTCAACTGCATCTACCTTTAGACCCTTCACTCTTCCACTGAATTCCTGCATAACACATATCACATGGACTCTCAAATTAAGCATAATGCTACCGGTTACGACTTTCTTAACGAGTAGATCATTGAAATCTACGAGGCGTCAAGAATAGTGCAATGGTAGATCGTGTACGGGATTATATTTTACTACGACATGCTGATAAACTTAATTAGAATATCTTTTATCACATTAAAATTTAAGTTCAAGTTTGAATAACAAAGGGTGATAAGATATTAGATATCTGCTAATGAGGTTCCACATGCCTGTTGCTATGCCACAAGTTTGTGATTTGTGATTCAAGACAAGAATAGGTGGCTGCGTGCCCGTTTCAAACTCCTTTTACTTGCTTTCATGTTAGATAGACCTTTACTATTCTTACTGTATCAATACAGGAGTGTATAATCGGTCACCAAAATCATGTCTACATCCACTGACGCTAAAATGCCCCAAAATGTACTATAGGAGGATGTGACTAATCGTCAATTCTTTCTACCCGGGTTATGTGCTATCAAACTCGTTGTTTGTTACTTATTTGTTTTTAGCCTATAACATTGCTTTCTTACCCAAAAAAAAAAAAAATTCAACGCATTTCCTCACTCATGTTTTCTAAAACACTATCTCTCAAACGTGACCAAGGCTCGATCATACAACCAAATGGTCCACGACTTACCATTTTCATATGGCTGACTTGTTCATCAGGTTGGAACAAGTGCGCACAATTGCTGTCCCTCACCACAAGAGTGCGATTGTGACTAGTTTTTTGGTTTTTAAATGTTTTTCTGTATACGTCATTCGTTGTATGCAACACATGAGCACAATGTATGGGATGCTTACCTTGGTATAATATCTACAACCACCAGGACCTTCAGTGACCAGCAGCAATTTAAGATTTGGATGAAACAGTTTACGAACAACAGCATCATCAAATGGATCTTCTCCCCTTGTCAGAAAACTAATCTCTTCTTCACTTATCTGCAAATGTTTATATATGTCAGCTTTCTCCTTTTCTTTATTTGATATCTGTTTTTCAATTTCAGATTGACCAGACAGCTCAGTTATGCCCACAAATGATATCATTGGAAAAGAATGAAAACTACCTTAATAATATCAGCAATATCCCATATGCTTAGAATCCCTTCAATGGCACTCTCTGCAGACGGCCACAGAGGGAGCCTCAAATTAGGATCATAGGAAAGAACGGCACCGGCATCTTTCGCAGCTTTTGCGGCAGCGATGTGAGCGGACTTGCATGGTTCAGTAATAAGACTGATAGAACCATAATGAAAGATCTTTGCCTGGAAAGGAATTGATAAAGCAGATCAAATATAAGCTTAGTAGTTTAGGATATAGAGCTTTGAACTTTAAACGGACTATAATAACACGTGTATGATCCCGACGAACTACTACATGCTCTGCTTTCCTCTGTAAATTGTACCTTCTTAAATTACTAATACCTTCTTGATTAAATCATAATTGAGTTCAGACTCCTGAAGTAACATGTCAGCACTAGGGTTGCGATAAAACATGAACTCGCGTTCCCCATCATTCCTCAACGTAACAAACGCTAAAGCAGTTCGCGCACCAGGATCGAATAGCATCCCTTCATTGCTCACATTGTTTTCCTTCAAGATATCAGCAAGCATGTAGCCAAATTCATCTGCACCAACCTGTGAATGTTGTTAAGAAAATCTGTGAAACCGTGCATGGAAAAACGTATCTTCCATTCTTTATTGCATTACTTTCTCGAAATGTCGAAGTGCCATATGCCAACAAGTGAGCCTCAATATGGAAGACTGAAATAAATTAGTTTGAAAGTGAAACATTAAAAGAACCCATTGGCTAAGCCAAAACCATCGAGCAAGAAAAAGGTCACACCTATGGGGAAAGACCACTTTGAGAAGCTTTAGGATAGGATATCTTATTTTTCAGTTGTGATGGGCATCGACGGGTGTCTACTTTAAAGCTAGTAATGTATGGGCGGAAGCGGGAGAATCCGACTAAAATATGGAGGCTGGTAGAACATTATAACAGCTCAAGCTCACCGCTAGCAGATATTGTCTTCTTTGGGCTTTCCCTTTCGGTTTTTAAAACGCGTCTACTAGGAGGAAGTTTTCACACCCTTACAAAGAATGTTTCGTTCTCCGCCCCAACCGATGTGGGATCTCACAATCATGATGGGCTGCTGTGACATCCTCAATGTGACATGTGCAGCAAAATGCCCTGGTCCTCATCTAAACATTCAATTGAAAATTTAACTGTTACTATATATTTTTTTATATTACCTTGCCTATAAAAGCAGACAAGCCACCAAGACGAGCTATGCCAACGGCAACATTAGCAGGTGCACCACCTGGAGCCTTTTTGAATGCAGGTGCCTCAGCTAAAGACAGTCCATTAGTTGTAGGGACAAAATCAATCAACATTTCTCCAAAACAAACTACAAGAGACGAATCGTTCGACTCCACCAAACCGCCATCTCCCGAAAATGCCTTCACTAAAAGTACGTAAATATAGTAGAAGATGTTAGCTCATGCAATGTCACCGAACTCAAAATCTTAAGTCGGTACGTAAACATATATATAATCTTTCAATATTCTTAACTCTCGAACTTGTAGCACAGTACTCTTGCTTTGATATAACATTAACTCCAAGAACTTAAACAAGTACGTTGGGCTACATTTAAGCTTTATAATGAATTCTTAATATGAAGAAGCCATCAAAAGACGTTGACCGAAGCATAGTTCAATAGATATGAAACCTATTGTCATCTCAAAAGTTGATGATTTAACCTTTACAGTTAAATTGTTGTAAAAATAATAATAATAAATAAAAAGATCATGGAAAATCAAATTAATATTGTAACAGTCCAAACCCACGATTAGTAGATATTGTCCGTTTTGGCCCATTACGTATCTCAATCTGCCTCATGGTTTTGAAACGTGTCTACTAGGGAGAGGTTTCCACACTATATAAGAAATTATTTGTTACCCTCTCTAACCCATGTGGGATCTCACAATCCACCTCGCTTGGGAGCTCAGTGTCCTTGCTGACACACTGTTCGATGTCTAATTCTGATACTATTTGTAACAACACAAACTCACTGCTAGCAAATATTGTATGTTTTAGCTCATTACGTATCGCCGTCAGCCTCACGGTTTTAAAACGTGTCTGCTAGGGATTGGTTTCCACACTCTTATAAGAAATGTTTCGTTTCCCTCTCCAACCAATGTGGGATCTCACAAACCACCCCCTTAGGAGCCCAATGTCCTCGCTGACACACCGCCCGGCTCTGGCTCTAATACCATTTGTAACAGCCGAAACTCACCGCTAGCAGATATTGTTCGCTTTGGCCCGTTACGTATCGCCATCAGCCTCACGGTTTTAAAACACGTCTACTAAGGAGAGGTTTCCACACTCTTATAAAAAAATATTTCGTTCCCTATCCAACCAACGTAGAATCTCAAAAATATTAGCATTTATTATTTGGTAAGAATTGACTTTCCCAATTTAATTCCCAGCATTTACAATTTATTTCACACTCCACAAACTAATTATAAGGCTTCTCCAAGGAAGTTTTACCAAGTAAATGTTAAGAATCACGGCTCTCCATAATAGTATGATATTGTCCACTTTAAGTATAAACTCTCATGGATTTGCTTTGGGCTTCCCAAAAAACTAATGGAGATGTAAACCTTACTTATAAACCCATAATCATTCCCTAAATTAGCCAATATGGACTTCCTCTCAAAAATTCTCAACAATTGTATTGACATAGCTAAATTAAGGGCATAGTTCTGATACCATGATAGGAATAATGAACCTCCACATTGGTATGATATTGTCCCCTTTGAGCATAAGCTCTTAGTGATATTGTACACTAAATTCTAATAAATTCACTTCACAGATTAACAGAACACCCAATCTTAGCTTGAAATCACAACTAAAGAAAACGACAACAAAACAAAAGCCGAAACAGATCAAATCCAACAATCCATTAGAATGGAGTTTACCTTTGACTTTCAAATGGGACTTAGAAACTACACGAGACCGCAAAAACCCAGAAGATTTCACCACCCATTGTCTGCGTCTCAAAGATTCATGTGCAACAGTAGGAAACCCATGGAAGCAGAATGCGCCAGAATGAAGAGCCATCGACCCAAAAAAGATGCAAGAACTTGAAATTAAGTATCAAACACCGGATCAGCGAAACGTGGAACAGAGCAATTCCCGCCGAATTCAAAATTTAGGGTTCTAAAAAACCGATTGGGGATCAGAATTGACTGATTAGGAAATGGATCGATGGGAAAATCGAAGAAGAAGAAGGTGAAATAGTGGTTTGGAGTGAGGAACGAGGAGTTGCAGAAAAGTAAGGAGTGTTTAGCGGTAAAGACGTTTGTCATTAACTGTGGTGGGGGCTCTTCGGGACAGCCATTGTTTCAGACGACAGATGGATTAGTAAGGGAACACTTATTTTTTCATTTTATTCTTTTAAATTTTTTTTAAATATATATATATATATATATTAAATAATTTTCGACCTTTCAATTTTTTTAACTGATTTAATTATATATATATATATCGAAATATTTATTGTATTATAATTACTCGAAATTTTCCCAATAATTTAAATTAAAGTCGCTAATATTTATGAATGCTCAATGTTGTTTAAGAACTACTAATCAATGAACAAATTAAATTTAAATTCATTTAATTTAATTTAATTTAATTTAATAAGAATTGTATCAAAACTTACCTTAAATATTTAATTTTACTAAGACTTTAATTTAAATTCATTCCCTCAATTAGCACTTATTTAAATAAAAAAAAATTAAAAATCTTTAATTTCAACCAAAAATATATATATTATAAATAAAAACAAAATTTTATGATAACAATTCATACCATATATTTTTTAAATTGATTAATTAACAAATATTATAAATGATATAAAATTGAAAGTTTAAAAAAATATTAAAATTAATTTAACTGCAAGTAGAATTGATGTAAGAAGCAACCTTTTTTTACGTGTGTTAGAATCTGGTCTTACTACCTAACGTCATCACTATCTCGTCCTAAATTGGAAGGATTAAAAACCCTCGCCCACCCTTCACAGTCCACAGACCGGAAATTTCCCCTGCCATTGCCTAATTCTTCCCATTTCAATTTGTTCTCATCGAGTTTCGATAACAGTCGATCATGGTGGAAGAATCCGGAACAGTTGAAGCAGTTCCGCAGCAACAATCTTCATTCCCGCCAGATTCAGCTCCGGCTGTTGTTCCAGCTCTTATTCCGGTGGAAGACTCCAATACTCCTCAGCTTGAATCGGATACTCGTCCTCCACCTGTTTTACCGGGCGCAATTCTGATTCCGAGTTCGGCTTCAGCTCCGGTTTCGTCTCCGAAACCCTCTGATCTGACTCGTAAGTCTATGGTATTGTTGCCTGTCATTGTTTTTTAGGCGTTTTGATTGTTACGGTTTAGTGTTTTTATTTGAGCTAATTCTGCTGTTAGATGATGGATTTCCTCTTCTTTTGGTGCATGAAGTTTTCTAGCTGGTTTTTTGTTTCTGTTATAGAGAGAAGCAATTGCATTCCTTCTGTGAGTTCGCGTGGTGCCTCTCTGTGTGTTGAAAAGATAACTCTGTTTTTCTGTATGTATCTACGAAGAGGTCCTGAGAATTCAATCTTAAGTTGCTATGTTTACTTTCATTTTCTTTTCACAATCTTTGGACGCTGAATTATTTTACGAGTTTGAATACTGGCAACTGTGTGGTGATGATCTAGGGATTCCTTCTTTGTTCAGTTAAAAAAAATTGGTGGAAAAATTCTCTAGAAGAAATGTTCTATGTGGTTCTTAGCGCTTCTTAATTGAATCCTAGCCTATCACCTTGCTCTCGATCCCTAGTGGTGTGGCATTCGCGAAAAGAATAGTGAGATTTAAATCACCTATTTATTTGTATTTCCTATTTACTTTTCCTACACTCTCTGGTGTGCTCGATGAGAGATGGATAAACTAAGGACTAATCACTTCAGGCACTAGCTGGTCCTCATTGGAGCAACAAACCCGAATTCTGTGGGGGTTTACTGTCATAGCTCTCTGTTTTGATCTGACAATGAGGACTCTTTCTTTGAAGACCAGTTTCTTGACAATCCTGTGGTGGGTTTAACTCGTAAGTAACCAGATAAGCCTCGAAGAAGTGAAAGATAAATGGGAGGATGTTCTGAATTTTGATCATTTTATTATTGTTCCTTTTCTTTTATATCTCTCGTGATTTTTCTATTTTCTGTGATTAAAGATGTAGGAGCCTTTTCTTATAATTTCTTTTGCTAGTTCTGCATCTTGGTTTGGCACTCAGGGCTTTGTTCTTGAATGGCCTTTTCCTACTTCCATTGCCCTCAACGAAATTAATAAAAAAGAAAGAAAAAAAAGACGAAGTCATTTACTGAAGTGGAGAGTTTTGCAATATTGGACGTGTCTGGGTACTTATCTGATCTGACGTTGCTGATTGGGGACTTGTGTAATTTTCCACAGCATGGACTCTTCTAATGTCCCGCCTTTCTCTTTCGGGCTGTAATTTGATTATTTATCTTTTAATCTAGTTGCCTAATAAAAGTAAAGGTTCCCCACAGTTCTAGTGTGCAGAAATTTGTTATTTGGTGGATCTTTGTTTTCTTGATAAGAACAGAAAAGAAATTAATGTTATGGCTTTCTTTTACTTGGTTTTGCAGAACTCTTCCTATACAAAAATCATTTGCATGAGTACACTCAAAAGTCAAGGATACCATTACCAGTATATCAGACTTTTGATGAAGGATCTCAAGGCATACCTAAATATAGGTCAACTGTTGTGGTTGATGAGGTACATTATGTGTCTCCTAATACGTTCCGTAATCGAAGGGCAGCTGAACAAGATGCTGCAAGAATTGCCCTCGAGTACATATCAAAAAAGGCCAAGGATGATGGATTTGTTCTCCTTCATGAGGTATGACTTATATGATGAGACTGAAACTTGTTTGGTGGCCTTTGATTTTTAGCATGCTTGTTTCTTTATTTATTTATTCTTATTTTAGTGCAACATTGTGGGGGACATTTAAACCTGCTGAACTTAATGGAAGAGATAGATGCTTTGACCACTATATTATGCTCATGTTGGCTATATTTTTGCTTGTTTAGGATTATAGATGCAATTCAATGATGAGATTTTCTACCTAGACTTTCGGTTTGTTACAAATAAGTTTTTATGTATGGAGATTACTTTTTGTAATTTTCTTTCGCAATGTGTACAATAACTTATTTGAACCCAACAGAAACAGTAATTTCTACCTGATATATTTGTTATTGTTCTTGGATGAAAAAATCTTAGTAATAATTGCATGTAATCACTTAAGTTGTATAAGATTTCTCATAGTCATAGTCATCGACATTCTCGAAGGTTGGAATTTATCTAATTGATTTTAGTGATAAGGCATTTAGTCTGTCTGAATAAGAAGTTCAGAAATGATGCCTTCGGGAATGAGGTTGTGAGACACTGTTTGCTTTTGTTTGTAGTTCACAGGGATAGGATTCAAATGTATGAGAGAGATAAGCGCAAAAGAATTATAAAAGGGGCTCCAATTGCTAACGTCCTTAGTGATAGAAGTCCAATTGAGACGTTGAACCTAGCCATGCTCTTACACCCATTCCCAAGGACATTCCTTTTCAAGACTCCCCTATTTCTCTCGAGCCAAATGTTCCATAAATTCACAAAAGTAAGCTGTCTGTCAAAAGAAGTCCCTCTATTGCATGCTTATAATTTTGATTGTGCCTTATACTTATTTTCTTATTGGTCTTTAATGTTCTGAATGTTTGTTCATGCTGTGCTATGATATTGATTATTGTGTACCAGCACTTCACTAATGGTATTAAATATTGACATGTTGAAAAGAAAACATGTATATATTTGATTGCTATACTTTATATTGACTTCGAATCTGATATACAAACTATGTCATTTGTTCTTATTTCAGGATTTGATGCTATGCAAGTCCATTTTGTCTGAATATACGGTGAAAATGAGTTTGAAAAGACCTATGTACACTACGAAACAACATGAAGGCTCGGTTCCAATTTTCCAATCCACCTTGGTTTTTGATGGTGTGGTTTATACTGGTGATATTAGTAGGAGTAAGAAAGAGGCAGAGCAATTGGCAGCACGTGCTGCTATTCTTTCACTTCATGGTATTTAATTGTTGGAAACAACTTCTGAATTATTTCAAAATACTAGGTGCCTTGTCAAAGTTGCTTTTATTAAATGATAATAATAATAGTTATTGCTACTATTATTTTGTAGATGCAGGAAATCCTAAATCACAAAAAACTCTTGCCGAAATCATTGCATCTAAAGTCCGGCTCCATGCAATGATGCAAAAAGTTAAAGATTCACATCCTTCTCAAATTCAACCGAAATATATGCCTGAAAATACAGTGGAACATGTAACAACGACAGTTAATGAAGATAAAGAAGTCAATGGTGCTATTTTGGACAATGTAGTGGCATGTGGTGCAATTTCAGAGATTTGTCCAACAATATCTCATCTTGGACCTGAACTTAGATCAATAAAACCGGTGGCATCGTCCCCTTCAGAGAGACTTCCAATAGAATCTGTGCCTTCAACTTCAGAGGAGCCTGTTGGTGATCGTGCAACTGGGACTAAAAAGCGATCTAAGAACAAGAGAAAGGCTCGTAAGAAACTGTGTATGGAGAACCAGTAAGTCTTCCTCCATGATCTTTTTTTCATGAAACTACATCTAACTTTATAATGTATCTTCTCGTTGTTTAGGGTATTACATAATTGTTTACTGTAAACACCAGTCTTGTTACAACTAGAGCTCTTCAACTTGCACATTCATGTTGACGACAAATTTCTGCATTAAGACTACTAGGCTGCAACTTCTTTCAATGAAAAGTTTATTTATTATTACTCTATTTTGAAGTGTTTGATATCCTTTCATTGTGGGATGTAGATTTAAATCATGGTAGTCATCAAGGATACTATAATATCTTACAACTTTCTTAATACTCCATTTAGTATCTGGTAAGATTTGATAGTTATGCCTATGACCAGTAGAGATTTAACTTAACTTAATCTGGATGCTCACAATTGTTAAAAATGTAAAGGAAACTGAGGGTCCTTGGTTTTGTGTATGATATATGAGATAAGTTGAAGGGAAGTTGTTATTGTTTTGTGCTACATGATAAGAGACATGGCATGTCCCCTCAAGAGTCCTGCGATGTTTTACACGAATAATATTAATTTGCGCTTATTACGTATAAGTTATTTCAATAGTATAACCAAATCTTCTTTTGCTAAAATGAGCAGGGTGGCAACGGGACGAGTCAAACTGCTCCTTGCTCCATAGCTCAATGACTGTAAAGTATCCTGTATTATAAGTGCTCCTCTGCTTCAAAGGTAACATTTAAGAGTAGTTTTGAGTATGAATACCATGAATTCGAGATTCCGCTTCTGTTGTAGGTCTATGTTTGACATCGACCACGCGAGTACACGATCAGTCAGTTCATATGTTATTATAAAATATAGTGGTAGCTTTGTAGGCTGTCATTAGGAGCCAAAAAAAAAAAAAAAACATCACGGATTGGTTTGGATACTCATAGAATTAAGGTTAAGCTTCGTGGCTCAGTTTAATTGTTTATATGATGCATTGAAGTAATATTTGTTAATGCAGGGGTTTGAGATAATATTACATACGGCCGTTATTACCTTATCTTTTAGATATAAAAATTAGATATAATGATATACTAGTTTTAAAGTTTAGAGGCTAAATTTAAATTTATAATTTTTGTTTTAGTGTAAGTTAGATGTTTTAAATTTTAAACAATAAGCTATGTTCATATTAGATATTATCAGTATTTAAGCTTCATATGGTGTGTAAATTTATAGGTTTCTTCCATTTCTCTAACATGTCACCCTTTTTTCTTTAAATAAATACTATGGAATGATAAAATAGTATGTATGGATATCTAAGATAATTGATATTACGAATATATGTGTTTCGATATAAAAGAAAATTAATGTTTAAGAATTAATTGTTTATACTACGAGTATATTATTTGATTATACAAAGTAGAGTGATATATATATTTATATAACATATTAGTTTAGCCCTATAACCTAGCGAAATTTAATTTTAAAAATTAGTTAAAATTTCTTTAAATATTTTTAAAATTTCTTTAAATTTAGTAATTTATGTATAAAGTTTGTCTCGCATAATAATCTACTATATAATAAGATAGTAGCCACCCATATATTACGTACTTACTACTTGTTTTATTTATTATTCTTATAATATTTTAATTATTTTTAAAATAGAATTTCTGTTTGTTTCATCGAATTCATTTCATATCATGAATCAAATGTTAAAGATGGGATTTATTAATTCTTTTTGAAATCCGAACATAAAAAGTTCTTACGGAATCGAACCCCTGGATTATCTGTCAATTGCATCAATTACTTCTTTTGAGAATAATATAATAGAACAATTCATTTACCCATTTGCAGTCTATTGATGAATTCATGAAGTTGAATTCATGCTCGTGTTTTTCCTTATAAGTTTATGAACTACCGAATATCTTTTGTGACCCGTCACATTGTTTTTTTTTTTTCCTTTTTTGAAAAGGAAGCAAAACTAAAAGCTGGCCCGAGTGTAAGAAGGGTCACTTGTGTTATTTAATTAGATTGTGACCGCTTTTAGAAGTTATTAGGGTTTGTTGTTTCATTTTTGGTAAATCAAAATCCTTTAGATTTAGTAACGATAGATAAGAATTCGATAATTGATTTGAATCGGAAGTTTATTGTAGCTTTGAGCACATTTGCTTATACTCATACAGTGAGTTGTCTTGTCTAGCGACGTTACGAGACGTCAACATTGATCAACCAACGAGATTAAATAGCATTTGAAAGCACTATTATTGTCACCTAATAATGTGTTGCGATGTCCTCAAATTTCTTGCTATTATTCGTTTGTTATTTTTGCAATTTCCATGAAATTTATAGTCTATATATGTTTATTATTTCGTTTCTCAATCAAATTTAAAATATTTTATTTTACATTTTTTCTCCCATTATTTTTAAAAATGGTAGTAAAAAAATATTGTATGCATCGGTATATTTGAGACATCGTCATTTTTTTTTTAATATTCCCATCAAAATTTATTTTCAATATAATTAATTTTCCTAATTTCCTATGTAAATTAATTCTACTAATTTAGTGTGACATATACACTTATTCTCACTAATTGTTCTAAATTATCTATTCTCTCACTAATCTTCCTCTTCACAATCCCTTTTCTTTCATAATTACTATTATCCTATTTATTAGTGTCCATTATTTTCCAAATTATTTAATTTCTATAAATATTTGTTGAAAATTAGCACTAACTACAAAAATAATTAAGTAATCACATAAAATAATGCACTTCTTAAATATTAATGCCAAAAATAAAATTGTTGAAATTATTATTTTTTTAAAAATACATTTAAAAAAAAAAAAAAAGCCAAAATTTAAAAATAATTACTAAAAAACCAAAACAATTCTTATTAAAATAACTTTAATAAAGTTTTTAAATTTAGTTTTGTTTTACAAGGGTTTATATGTTCATAAATTTGTAAATTTTAATGTTTCTATGGACACCGACATTTAACTATAAAAATATTGACAGAATATTAAATTAAATTTAGGAAAAGGGTAAATACATTACTGTTTATAGTTGGGAGAATAATTCTTTTAATTAAGACGGAATTTAATACATTAATTTCGTTTTTTTTTTTTTTTTTATCCTTTACCACTTACCAAACGCCATGAGATTCAAAGCTCCACAGCCAAGCGCCACCACGAGTGCCGCCGTGGCTGACCAGTTCCTGGTTGTGCCGGAGAAGTAATACCAACGATTATTGGCATCGATCTGATACAGGTTACCGGGTACACCTGTTGTGTAAATAAACCTTGGAGGTGGTGGTGGAGACAGCGATGTATAAATAAACCTGGGAGGCGGTGGTGGCGGCGGCAGCGCTGGCTTGCAATTCGGCGGCGGCGGTGGCGGTGGAGGAGGGAATTGTTTAACACATGGGTTGGAACAAGGGCATGATCCACATTTTATTTCGGAATTGGGATCTTGCGGATCGACCGGCGAGACGGGTTGGGAGTTGGCGAGGTGAAGGAAGAGGAAGAGAAACGAAAGGGACAGCGGAATGGCGGCGGAAGGCGCCATGTTCAGGCCGGAGAAGCTCTGAAATCGAAGAGGATTGAGTTTTGAAGAGAGAGAGAGAGAGAGTTAATGAGAAAGTGAGGGTTGGGCTGTTATTTGCTTATGTTAAGTGCATGGGAATGGGATGGGGGAGGTGAAGGGCAATTTGGTCTTTTCACTTTTAGTTGTTTATTTTAAACGACGTAGCTATCAAACGAGCCCTAAATAATCAACTTCTATGTAAATTTTTTAATCGTGATTGTCTTCTTCCTTCTTTAATGTTCCATCTTCAAACGAGAAAAATAACCGGAGACAGTTTAGTCTATATCTAATATGAGAGTATTGAGAGGACATTTTCCTAGTACAATAAGAGGGAAGGACACGCCTCTAGTGTACCAGTTATCGTGTCTACGGTAAACACTGAATAGCTGACGGTAAAACAAATAACTACTTAAAGCATTTAAGTAGGTAAACAGACTTCAAGATAACCGCCTCTAATAAAAAAAAAAAAGGAAAGTAAGAATATTTCAAAGGGTATGACTTAAGAGAGACTCTTTCAAAAGGGTTTGCTATGGTCATTAGTTTAGATAGTGAATTGCATGTGGATGTTGTAAATGTGAGGGACCATTCCACTTTTTCTTATTACATTTTTCCCCATTTTTTTATTAAAAAATTAAAAAATATCTAATTACAAATATAGTCCATAAACGTTGAGATTCATATATATTTGGTCTTTAAATTAAATATTTTAATTTCTACACGAGCCTATTAATTAATTTTTAATTTTTTTTAATTTTCATAGATTTATTAAAAATAAAACTAAAAATTTAGAAATTTATTAGACCGCTGATTAATATTTAAATTCTTAATTAATAGTTGAAAATAAATAAATAAAATTTAAGAAAGTCTTCCAAACAACAAATTTGATATGCATTTGGGTATTGAATAGGTAAGAAAAAGTTTAGTAAACCAAAAGTGGAACAAATTCGTACAATAACTCCTCTTTAGTGTGTTGAATATGTTCCCTTTGTGTTTGGTATCAATTTATTCTCTTTTTTTTTTTAATTTTAAAATTAATTTCCACCCATAATTAAAATTAAAATTAAGGGTCGGTTTAGTTATCAATTCTAATTTAATATATTTTTTATAATAGATTTAAGAACATGTTTATTATTTAGAATTTTTATTAAATATGGAGATGTTCATTTAACTCGTCTTTCACCCTAATAAAATAAAGGGAGAATTTTGTAGGAATGCTGGTATTTTCTTTTATTTTGTAGATATTAAAATAGCTTATTAAATTGATTTATATTTTGGATATATGAATTAAAATTGAAAACTAATAAGTATTAATTTTCTTTCCAGCTAATGAATCCCTTTGTCTCCTTTATGTAAAGTGTTCACCATAACATATATTCTCCCATTATAATTTCAATATTTTAAAAATAATCAATAACTGTTTTTTCAAATGTCGATATTATTTAAATAAATTTTAAAACTAATTTAAGTATGGAATTAATGCAAAAATAATATATTAATCATAGCGAACCATTAGTGAAATTAAATAAGACATTAAAATAAAATAGTATTTTAACTTAAAAAAATATATCATGTCACCTCCTCTTAAAATATATTTTAATCAATTTTAATTTCATTAAATTAAATTATAATTCAAATAAATATTGCAATTTTGTTTCTTTCTCACTAAATTTTCCGCCTAATAAAAAATCAACAAAAAAAAATCGAAAAAAAAATATAGAAACAGATTCACAAAATTCAATAAAAATTCAAATCGGCCTTATAACTCATAATTTAAAATTTATAAAATTAAAAGCTTTGGTTAAAAATTAACTTTTTATTATATATTACCAAGGTTAATACTCTATATTATGGGCAAGTTAATTTTAATATATATATTTATAAATTTTATATTATTATAAAAATACGTTTTGAAAAAAATAGAGGGGAAGAAGAAAGGAATCATATACCCAAATATGAAAGAAAAGGTATGGGTTTGATCCTCTTCTTTTCCAAAAGGGAATGAAAGTGCCATTCTTTTATACTTACACGGATCTAATTCTTTCCTAGTGTCTTACTTTTTATTTTATGTGCCTAAAAATTGAATATTTTAGTATTTATAAATTTTTTAAATTAAGAGTTTTTTTTTTATAAGTCGATTCCGCGTTGTTTCGGTTCATAAATTTTCTCCACATCACCAATTCAAACTAGATGGTAGGTCCAACTCGAAACTACGGAGGAAAAAAATCGAATTATTGGTTATTTATGTCTGTTTTTTTTTTTTTTTTTTTTATAGATTAATAATTTATTAAATATTTAATAACTTGCTTTTTTATATATAAAAAAGTACTTAATTATTGATATTATAGGTTTTTAATTAAAATTTAAAGAATATATAATATAATGAATAAAATAATATGAAATTATTTATACATACGGCATATAATTATGAAATATTAAACTTTTGCTTAAAATTTGAAGAAGATTGCGGTTTCTAAAATAAATATTATCAGAACAATATAAACCAACTAAATTAATGCAAAACATAATAAAATTAAACAAAGATATTTAAAAGAAAAAATAATAATTTTTTATTATTATTGTAATTATTATTTGGGTCGAGGAATTGGACTCTTAAATCTCACAATTCATTCCTTAAAGTTTAGTAGCACTCGTTCCTTTCTTTTGGGGTCTAATGTTTTTGCTAGAACACTATCTTGTGTCCACTCTCTTCACGAGTCAACCTCTTTCCAAGTATATCATCGGGTGTATGATCTATCATTGACTGATATTATCTATTTAGATTTACCTCAATATTTTAAAATTAAAGAGAAGTTTCCATATACTTTCAAAAAAAAATGTTTCCCTCCCTAATTGATGTGACATCTTACCGTTATGATTTGCAAGACACATTACAATTATTAATAATATGATCGTGATTCAACTATAAATACAATATTGATATGACGTATAATGTATCAAAAAATGTAATGAAGTCAACAAATTCAAAGACGGTATAAAAACTCTTGTTTACTATATATTTTTTCTTCACTCAGCATATTTTTTTAAAAGATTTAATTTATTTTTGTTAGCTATTCATTAGCAATATAAATTAATTATTATAAATTAATAATACTATCAACATATAAAATACTAATATGGTTTCTTATATATATATATATATATATACATAAATAAAAGTTGGAATCGATAACAGAATTCCTCTATATATTTTATTTTTTAAAGCGGCCATAGACAGGAATTTCATTAGCTGCGTATTCCCTCAAATAGGAACCGCATTAGACACCGACGGGTAAACGACGGTGGCCGGATGCGCCATGATACGGCGGCCCTTGTGGTGGCGGAAGCAATAAACCAGAGCTCCCACTGGCCACTCTACAACCGCCGCCACCGCGAAGGCCAAGAACCCCAGGGTCGGCCCCACCACCTTGCACCTGCACGGATTGCTATGGGTTCCACATTCGACGCAGATCATAACGCCGGTATTAGTCACCGGAGCACGACGGAGTATAACGAAGAAGAAGAAGAAGAAGTATAAGAAAATGGATTATTAGGTTGATTTTGTGTGGATGTCGGAACTCGGCAGGGTTTGGAAGATTCTTTATAGGACGAAGTTTCATGGAGTTCGTCTGGGAATTTGGGGATTTTTTTAAATGACACGTGGCGGACTAGCCGGGACTTTGTTGGACACGTGTCGTTTAAGGGTAAAGTGGTACAGCGGTGTCGGTGTTACATCTGGATGTTTCTTAAAAAGAGCTATTAGGGAGAACAGGCCCAACCCACGTTCCAAATGGGTCGATGGCAGGCCCATTCTGTTGAACTGAACCGTCTTTTTTTTTTTTTTTTAATTCTTGAAATTAAAAATATTTAAATGATAAATTCTTGAAATTAAAAAAATAAATATATTCAACGCTAATATAATAATAAATTTATAAATTTGACTCGAATAGCTTCTTAATTTTTTAATAAAAATATTAAATAAATTAAATTTGACATTTAATAATTTATTAAATACAAAATTAAAATTAAAAGGTTAAAATTTATTAAATATAAGTTTCACTTTTTAAACATTAAAAGGTCAAACTTGTAATTTAATACCTTTTTTTAATCGTAAAAGTTATATTCTTAAATTTATTAGATTATAAAATTATATTTTAGTTCATTGAAGTTTGAATTTAATAGTTAATTGAGTTTGATCACGAGAATTATCCCTTCAAATTAAGATTTAAAATTTAGGGTAAAAATAAATTTTCATAATGCAACTTTGTATTTTATCTATTTTTATTTATTTATTTATTTTCCACATAAATATAGAAATTCATTTTTTTATCCCAATAAATAATTTTTTTAATTGGAAAATTTTCTCATATCATACATAAAAATATGAAATTAAAATACTGTAACATTTTTATTTTACCAGATGACGTAGAATTTTCTATAAAAAAAGTTAAAATTTTATTTTTCCTAATTAGTAAAATATTCAAAGTTATCCAAATATATGAAATTGTTATTATTATTAAAATTGCATGGTATACGTGGAATGCACATGCTACATGTGGAACCCACATAGTGATTTACCAATTTCGCCTCCAGTTTGACGGGCAGAGCATTGGTCAGTGGTATTTTCGTAATTTCATTCATCCCTCTAACCTCCTATAAATTCTTGCCAGTTGACACCGTCATCATTTTCCACTTCCCTTTTCCTCCGTCCGTTGCTATTGTGTATTAACTTCCAGTTTCAGTTTCTTCCATTTTGCGAAAATATTTCTCTGAACTTGCACTCTCTTGTTTGACGCATTCTGATTCATACAACTGAAAATGTCGCCGCCGATCCTCTCGTTAGCTCTGCCGTCGGCGACTGGTCGAGTTCTCAGTATTCAGTCCCACACTGTTCAGGTTTGTTCAATAGTTTACGACGGTTGCGAATGATTTGAAAGAAATCAATATAAACTCGAAATTTATCTTGTTTTGATTGCCTCCATTCGGCTTCTGCAGAAGTTTCCTTCAGTTCTCTTGCGAATTTGTGTCGTAACACTCGTATGTTTTTGTTAGAAGTTTTGCGTTTCGGAGAGGGCTGGCCTTTGTAGTTAGCATGTTTGTCTTCTTGTAAATTTTTCTTAGGAGAGGAAAATTCAATGTTACTTATGTGCCGTGTATTTCTGCGGATTGTTTGTTGATACAAGGTCTCAGTATTGTTCTTGATTGCCTTTGTTTTCCGTGCTATTAATTTTACTTCAGTGGATTGTTCTCTTGTGCTCTGCCGTAGGGATACGTTGGGAACAAATCAGCTGTTTTCCCTCTCCAATTATTGGGCTATGATGTGGATCCAATAAACTCCGTGCACTTCTCAAACCACACAGGCAAGCTGATTCTATTTCTTCACTCAAATGGTCTCAGAACAATGAGGCCTAATATACGGTGCGATGCCTTATGTCTATTATGCATAAGTTCTGGTTAGATTTTGTAGTGTTAGTGAAAGTGGATTATGGTTTGTTTGAAAATAAAACAGGATATCCGACTTTCAAGGGCCAAGTTTTGAATGGAGAACAATTATGGGACTTAATTGAAGGCCTTGAAGAAAATGAATTGTTGTACTATACTCATCTGTTAACAGGTACTCTAGTTTTTTATTAAATGGCTTTTGGTGTCCGGTATAATTTGGCAACTTTACAATATAAGGTTTTACCAATGAATTGCATGTTGCTATATTATAACGAGACAGAACTGAAGAAATATGTTTGCTAGGAAAGTAGAATTATGCTAAACTATTGGCAACTTTATATGTAAAGTTCCTGCAGTAATTTACATACCGTAGAATTGGTTATTTTTATGTTCAGATATTGAGAGTTTTGTTGTAATATGTTCTTATCGATTTTGCAGGTTATATTGGTTCTGTTTCTTTTCTCAACACAGTGTTAAAAGTTGTCGATAAGCTTCGCTCAGCAAACCCTAAGCTAATATATGGTCAGTTAAATTCATATTCCTTATGCTTCATATCATTCTCCAAAATCATATAATATGTTTTGGTAAATGTTTTTTTTTTTTTTTTTTTTTTTTTTTTTTTTTTTTTTTTTTTTTTTTTTTTTTT